TAAAGTGCCTTATTGCTGTCAGGCAATCCGAATTCAATATGTACTGCAGTTTGTTAACCTAAGACAGGTTACCAGCTTGGCTAACCTTGCCAAGACTGTCAAGTTGTAGAATCTAATTTTTAGTGTGATGATTAGACCACTAACCTGTCCTCACTTGCTAATAGTATATTAAATTTCATTTGATAAATATATTCTGCATGGAACAATCCTGCATTGGCAATAGAAGTGACACAAAGAACTATTACTTTAAGATCCTCTTCATCTCACATTTCCGTGATTCCAAATGGATGCAGTTTTAATCTGTTGGAGAGTGCATACTGTAACTGATAATAGTAAACCTTGCGTTATTTTTTGCTGGGGACAAAAATCAATCAACCAAAAATTGATTTTATGACTTAGTTATAAATTTTTAGGGGAAAAAGATGAACAAAAAGAGAGAGAAAAAGGTTTATGAAATAAACACTAAAAGCCTCCATCTGGGAGCAATGATTCTGCAAATAGACATTGTTTTAACCTATCAATCATGCTCGTCTAACACAACAAAAATGTTTGCTTTGTGTAATGGAGGAAAACTCCAAACACAGCTCCAGTTGCTTAGGTTATCACTGGAGGTTTTTCTACTTTCCAATAAATGTATCACTTTCCCCTCCTAAATATCTGCATGCATCAGAAAATGGGAACCATGCATTCAGTGCCTGGTTTGCCTGATAAACACAGGTTTGGAAAATCAATCTGCTAGAAGCACAGTCTTTCCAGTAGTGCTAAACGTTTATACACTGCTATATTTAGGTCTTAGAAGCAGGACTTTTCAACTTCATTAGTTAATTCAGCTACTGTAAATCAGATGATACCCACCTTGACCCAGAGAACATGAGACCTTCTAGGAACAGGCTCACTTGAGTCAGGTCAGCATTTGCCATCAGAAGAACCTATCTCACCATCAGTGAATATTTCCCCACAGCTAACACTCATTTCAAGTTGTGGATTTACTTCCTATGAGCTACCCTTTCCAATCCAGAAATGCAATTATAATTGCAGAATTCAAAGCTGTCCTCTTTTCATCTTCTCTGACCAAACGGAGGAAGAATTTGGTCAAAGCTTGCAATTGTTGGCTAATTATTATTTAAGTTTTTATTTCTTTAAACTTGTCATTATGCAGAACATCTTCTTGACTTTTACAGAATATATTAAGTCAGCTTCTCAACTTCAAGCTTCTAAAGACTGATCTGATTTCAAATGTGTGCTTGGTTATCCCTGCTAACCTCTACCATTGATTTCCTAATGCTATTGGGAAATATTTCTATTTATTTGGGTATTTTAGTAAGGATGTAGATGCCAAAATTTATGTCTTACCACAAATCTTATAGTCAATGAGCTACAGCAATATTTCTGCCAACTCTCCTTCAGAAACATAGATTTTAAAAAAAGTATTTTCTGTAAAGCAGCTGCTTGGGGATTTTTTCTGGGGGAGTGTATGGGTTGTTTTGTTTTACATATGTACAAGCAAATAAGACCGGTGCACACTGTGTCTGTTGGTGCAGATCCTTCCTGTTGGTGCAGTACCAAACAATTCAAGAGGTTTGCAGTGAGAGAACTTTGAGAACAACATAATTGCCCCTTTAGAAGGAAATGAGCATATGCATCTTCCTACAAGTTATCTCTGCCAAAGGCAGTGTCTCTGGAGAAAGACTAGGCACCCCCTGTGGCTTTCATGCAATGTACAACAGCTTCTTGGAGCCATGAATAATAACTTCATCTTCTCTTTTGGCACCCAGCTCTCTGCAGAACTCTCTCCTGGAAAGTTGCCACACTGGCATATTAGAGTTGCCAGTATCTCCCACTCTAGTGTGACTGTGCAGAATTACAGCTTAAGACTTCCTCCAGAGGTGACTGTGTTAATGCCAAAGCTAATTTCCCATCTTACAGCAGAGAAAATTGTTAATAATACCCGATTATGGCTATATATGGTGGAATTGATTTGGTGGTGTGTGCCTATTTTTTTTTTAATTATTAATTTTTTTCTCCTTTTTTACACTGATTTTCTTTTGTATTTTCCCTGAAAATTCAGATATGAATATATGCAAAAAAGCCAAGAAAAAAACAATTTTATGTCAGGAAAAAACCCTGGAAAAAAATCTTTACTTTCTTCTGTTGCTTAAGACATGTCAAAAAGAAAGAAATGTCATTAAAAAAAGTGGGTATTTTGTTTTCAGAACCACCAAACCCCTTTCTGCTCACTTCCGCAGCAAGAATGGAGGAGACCTGCCTGTCTGCAGGCACCTAGTGCTGTATCCCACATTGCACAAAAAATTCAATGAGCCAGGTATGTGTCTTTCAGGAGTGTACAAGAAAGAGATTAAAAGCGGAGAGCACTGAGCATCTGTCCAACTCGCTGAGGCTAAATGTAATGCAAAATTTGTGGTACCACACAGCTTCCAGTTTAGCAACTGGTCAGGGTAAACCCCTGCTTTTCTCTGTGGGAGCCAGCACCCCAGCATGCCTGGTAGGGAGATGTGAGCCAGCCTGTGCAAGCACATCCTGCGCCAAGTACTGCTGTTCCCCATCAGGACCTGAACGTCTTTCCTCTTCTCTGTGTGTTTGCGGAAGTCTACAACCACTGGTTTTGAAAGGGAATGAAAGCTTCTAAGTTCTGCTGCTCTGCAAGCTGCCTCATGCTTAATACCTTGATAACCCGAGGGCTCATGTACAGACAGTGGAAAACAGAGACCAGTTTTTATGTTGGTTCATTCTGGAAGCTGTCTTGCAAAGACCAGAGCTCTGATTATTTTAATTAATATTTGCCTTCTCTGTATACAGTTGATTTACTGCTGTTTACAATGATGGTTTAAATCAAATCATGAGCACCTAATAGCAGCTTGTTAGATTTACATAAAAAATGATATGCACTCACAGAAAACAAGACAGTTCACTGTAACACAGTATCAATGAAAACGTTTTTGAAAAAGCAGATTAATTTCAGTGAGAAATCTCTACTTTTCAGCTTGACTATAATTTTATATTCTGTATAAATCTTTAGTTAAAAGAAGATAATCATGTATCAAAAGTGCTTCTATCTCAATTTCAAGTAAAGTTTTAAAATAGCATAAAAATGTGTAAAAAGATTCTGAGTTTTCAATCATGGTCTTTCTTTTCTGTGACAACAAAGGTCTCAAATACAATGACAACATTTTGTATTTTGGAAGCAGATAATAACAAGTAGTAAAAAGCACACTAAAGTATTAACTAAATTTGCCTCAAATATTAAAAAATAAAAGTATGTTTTATTGTTTTGGGTTTTATTCCATATATTTCTCCTTTAACTTTTCAATTATGCTTTTGTCAGATGAACACACATATGAAAAAGAAAGAGAAGATTTTAAAGATGAGTTCATGCTTTATAATCTGAAATGGAAACACAGTCAATACCTGAATAACTCAATGTGTTCAGATAGAAGAGCCTGTGTCTATAACCTCACAACAGTGAGGCTCCCACGAAACTCCTTCCTAAACGTGCTCAAATGTCTCAAAACTCCACATAGCACAATAGCTTTGGCTTCCACTAAGCTTTGTACGTTTTTCATAGGCCACACTACACCACTTTCAAGATGTTACAGTTGCTGGTGATAAAGTAATCATGAACTGAATGCTTTTCACTCCATAAATGATCAGGTTAGACCTTTGTGTCAACCACAACCACTGATTTTAAAGGACATCCTGGAAGCAGTTTTATTAGTACAGTGAAATGTAGGATAATTATTTTGGTTATTTACTTTTTTTCCCCCTTTAGTTACTTACAGATAACTATTTTGGTTATAAATTGTTATGAAAACAATTAAAAAAAAACAAACAAAAATCCAGACATTATTAATTAGTGTTTTCGTCAGATAACAGGTTTTGGGGGGCTCTGGGGAGGAAGACAAAGTTTCACCAGCTCTGCTAGGAGTCTGTTTCACTGTCATGGGCAAAGGCAGGAAACAGGGATGAAAACTTTCACACATCCAGCTCCTGACAAGGTCCCAGGAACTGTGTACTAGACTACTACAAATGATCCAGGCCTGCTGAATAAGTGTACACCACTAATACAGGTGACTCAGAGCTGGTTCAATTTGAAGATGCGTTCAAATAGCTGAGAAACATAGCTGAATCATACTCCTTTTTTAAGCTGCAAATCTCACTCAAGCTTGCCCTTCCTTTTCATGAAATATGCCGTCTGCAAATAGCTTCTGTCTCCCAAGAAATTCTTTGAAGAAAATTCTATTTATTCCTTCTTTCTCACCTGACCACTTTGCCCATATGTAAAGTAAGCTGGCTTGTTTTTCCACACCAAAAGAACAAACATTACCAAACTGATCTGGAAAGACTTACTTTAGAAGAAGTCAAGAGATTAAAACAGAAGAAACTCTAACCAAAGGGGCAGCTGCCACCTGAAACATCATGCACCCTAGCTGCCGCGGACAAAATCCCAGAACTGCAGAAATTTCGTAGCTGCAGACACCACTGCTGCAGGTCCCACAGGACTAACCCATTTGCATGCTTTTGAACAGAGCAGAAATAGAAGCAAAGTAGCACTCACATGTAGAGGCATGCATTTTTTACACTGAGCAAAAAGATTAAGGATAATTAGAAAAGAGAAGTGGCTTAACATGCTGCCTCCCCAGTAGAGTGCAATTAGTGTCTCCTTTAGTTTTCTAAGGGCATCAGCCTCCAGTTAGTTGCTGTTGTAAACTTGATTGCTGCTCTGTACATCTGCAAGCCACTTGGCAAACTGTAGTGCCCTGATCTTATTTCCACCGGCTTTGCACCTGACTGTTAATTGTACCATGGAATAAGCTCCATCTGTATGGCAGGGAGTGCAAATTGACACAAAAATGCAACATTTCAAAACTCATTTTGCCTCCAAAACCTACCAAAACCTCCAAAAGCAAAGCATTTTTTAAAGCATGCTGAATTCTGAACACTGAACACATTCGCTCCCCAATTATTCCTGAGTGACACACCACTTCGGCACACACAAGGCTACAGGCCCAGATGGGATCCACCCAAGGGTACTGAGGGAGCTGGTGGAATTGCTCACTGAGCCACTTTCCACCATTTATCAGCAGTCCTGGTTACCAGGAAAGTCCCAGTAACTGGAGGTTAGCAAATGTGACATCCATCTACAAGAAGGGCCAGAAGGAGGATCGGGGGAGTTGCAGGCCTGTCAGTCTGACCTTGGTGCTAAGGAAGGTTATGGAGCACATCATCTTGAGTACAACACACAGCATGTACAGGGCAACCAGGTGATCAGCCCAGTCAGCATGGGTTTATGAAACGCAGGTCTTGCTTAACCAACCTGATCTGCTTCTATGACAGGGTGGATGATGGAAAGGCTGTGGATGTTGTCTATCTAGACCTTAGAAAAGCCTCTGACACCATTTCCTGCAGCATTCTCCTGGAGAAACTGGCTGCTCATGGCTTGGATGGGTGTGCTTGTGCTAGGTAAAAGACAGCAAATAGCTGGATGCTGGGGCCCAGAGAGTGGTGGTGAATGGAGTTAAATCCATTTGGCAGATGGGCACAAGTGGTGTTCCCCAGGACCCAGTATTGGGCCAGTTCTGTTTAGTGTCTTTATCAATGATCTGGACAAGGGGATTGGGTGCACCCTGAGCCAGTTTGCAGACAACACCAAGCTGTGTGGGAGCATTGATCTGCTGGAGGGTAGGAAGGCTCTGCAGAGGGATCTGGACAGGCTGGATCAATGGGCTGAGGCCAGTTGTGTGAGTTTCAACAAGGCAAAGTGCCAAGTCCTGCATCTGGGTCATAACAATCCCATTGAAAGCTACAGGCTTGGGAAAGAGTGGCTGGAAAGCTGCTTGGTGGAAAAGAACCTGGGGGTGCTGATTGACGGAGCTAAACATGAGCAGCTTGTGCTCAGGTAGCCAAGAAGGCCAATGGCATCCTGGCCTGCATCAGCAATAGTGTGGCCAGGAGGGCCAGCACAGTGATCAGCCCCCTGTACTCAGCACTGGTGAGGCTGCACCTTTAATCCTGTGTTCAGTTCTGGGCCCCTCACTACAAGAAAGATGTTGAGATGGTGGAGTGTGTCCAAAGAAGAGCAACAAAGCTGGTGAAGGGTCTGGAGCACAGCTGTGATGAGGAACAACTGAGGGAGCTGGGGATGTTCAGTCTGGAGAAGAGAAGGCTCAGGGAAGACGTTACTTCTCTGCAGTTACCTAAAAGGAAGTTATAGTGAGGGGTCAGCCTCTTATCCCAGACTCTTCTTGCACTGGCTTTGAGCATGTGGAAGACAGGCAGACCTTTAGTTTGCTGTGTAAATGTGCTAAGGGCATATCAAACTCCATGTGAGGAAAGCATTTCTTTTTGTGACTTTCAGGTAAGTACTTAGCCGGTAGCTCCTGGGTACTGCAGGCCCACAAAAAAGCATTTAGAGACCAGGAGTGAATGAAGAACAGCTGCATCTCCAGGAGTAACCCCACCACTCTCAGCTTGCCTCTGGCACTGCAGAGTTTGAGTGTCCCATGCCCTTGTGCTGTAGATGTAGGATAATGGAGAAGGAGGAAGGGACAAATCCACAGACCTGCAGCCAGCGCATTGCCTGCAAAGTTTAGTAGCACAAGCGCACAGCTGTGATTAACAAGGCTCCTGATTTCCAGCTAATGTTTTAATTCCACAGCATATAGGTGTGTTACCTAACCTCCATCTGTTTTGCTGTGAATAAATGATATCTCCAGTGTTTCTTATTGGCAGGATTATAGCATGTCTTTGGATAATGTTCTTAGGAATAAGCACAAAAAAATTGCCGGCTCAGTTCCCACAGAGATATGAGCCTAACTTGGAACATATCACTTGTTCTACCTGCTCCTGTATTTTCCAAGTACTGAACAACAACTTATTTCCTCAACACCACTTGAAATCCTTTCAACATTCTTACTCATTAATTGCAAAAGGAAAAATTAAGGTAGAATTAAATTTTTGCACTTTGCAGTAGACATCTGAAGGAAGGAGGGAAGCAAACTAGTTCAGAAAAAGCAGGTCATAACCTTTAAACCCCCCCCCAATGTTTACATGCCTTAGTAGCTGAATGGCATTGCTAGTAGGCATAAGTATATGTTGGTGATTTTGATGCCAGGCTAGTGGAAAGAACCAAGACTTTTTTAACCCTCTAAAGTTCTTTCAGGTCATGAACTCTGTCAGCAGCAGCTACCACAAATTGGCATTTCCTGAAGGAAGAATGAATACACAGCATTTTCTCAAAGCTGCAATACATTTCACTTATAATATAGTTAAACTTCACCAGAAATAAGTGTCACCCTCTAGCCTTAAGAATTCATTCCTCTTTTTTTTCAGACGAGGTGTTATTTGGGCTTTTTTTACTTACTCAAAGTGTACTTCTTTATCCTTAAACAATTTCTATTCTTTGTCAGGAATGTGGAAATACATATTTCCTGTAAGGAATAGGGATGATTCAAGATTCTGACAGATAAAATAGTGTGGAAAAATAAAGCAATGGATGTTGGGTTCTGAGCATGCTGGTCCACGGACATGAAGATAATCTCCATCATGTAACTTCATACTCTTTAATTACTTATTTCTGGCCAATTTTCGGCAGAAACTGTCCATCAATCCACATATCCACTGGGGGGGGGGGTGTGTGGGGGGAGAAAAAGAGGAAAGTTGAACTGGAGAAAAAACAGAGATGTGAGGTTTTATATCCAATTACATACAACATTTGTGAACTCAAAATATTGAAAACTAACTTTCAGAAATGGGAATGGGAAAAAGGCTGAACCTGTCCTTCCATATCTATCAACACATACAAAACATGCCCTTAATAACTTTTTATTATTTTTTAACTAGTTGTTTTACTAGTGGTTAAGCAGGTGTGGCCCAGGACAAAGTGAAACACTGAAAGTTGTTGGCCTCGGCAAACAGCAGTTTTGTGTTAACAATGACAAGATTAACAGCAAGAGAATCGGAGGTGGGGACTTCTGAAAGCTTGTCAGATTTTTGTTTCACGTAAGCAAAGCAATGTGTGGGTGGTAAAAATCCAACCCTTGCTACAGGCAAACTTGAGAAATTCAACTCTAGAGTTAGAGATCAGTTACCTGCACAGTTTTTGTCATATCTGTTTTATTGTAATTGACTAAACAAGAATTTGAGGCAGATAATGTTTGTGGATAAAGAATTTATTAGTGGCTTTAATCAACAAGGAGGAAATACCAAGATCTCACAAACTAACTTACATTGACCATCTGAAAGTCTATCAGCTCTTTTACAGCTAACCTTCCCTGGTTTTGTCATAAGATTAGGACGGTCATGACATCACTGATATGTATGGCATCACCAGTGGTTGTTTCATCAAGCAGAAGAAATACTACCATTAGACTAGTGTGTTTTAATTAATTGTTGTACTTCAGGAAAGGAGTGCTAGACGTGTTTACTGATGTTATAGTCAACAGGCATACTGATGGTCTTCTGATTGTTTCAAAAACTGTTATGTAACCCATGGGACTGAGATAATCATGAACATAACAAGATCTCTTTAATATCAGAGCTTGATAATTTGTTTGAAACTGGAGGTAAGGATTTTTATTTATTCTGAAATTAATGATCTAACTTGAGTTCATTTTAGCCAAGCTCTTGGGTTTCTCTAGAACTTTGGTAGTGGTTTTAAAAGAACTGATCTTTGATATCATTAGTTCAGTCATAAATGCTGCCAGTTCCTGAGAGCACTTTTAAGTTCCTACTCTTCAGTAATTTCTTGGAAGTCAACAGCAGTGCTAGTGTGTCGAATTTTGGCAAGATTATTCCTGAGACACCTTAATAAGCTCAGATTTTATAAGAGACAAGTAACTGTGGTTATGATACACTTCAGCAAGATGGTGTTAAAAAGACAAACATTGTCCCTCAAATCTCTTACACACACAAAAACCCCGAGTAAAAAAAGAATAAGAGTCCCCCCACCAAAAAAAAATAAAACAACCCCAACCCTAACTGTAGTGTGGCAGCTGCTCTATCCAGAGCTGGAACCCAGTATTTAGTCTTGGTCTCACCACTCTCTACCTAATAGCCAAATAGTTAATTAAATGGGGATGCATCTACAGGTGTACCCACAATGCAACTAAGATAGTCTAGCAGCTAGCTGCCTCCAAAATGGCCAGACGTGACTCTTGTGCCCACTTTGACCATTGGGCTGACGAGTGCAAGTTGTCTTGAAACACTAGGCTGGCAGAAGTTGAGTCCTACAGAAACAATGGGGCACCTGTGGCCTGTAGCTCTCCTGGCATGAGGACAACAATGGCTGGCAGGGCATGGTAGGAGCATCCAGGTGGGGGCAGGCAGGGCACAGGAGCAGTCCTTTGGGTAATACCAGGCCTTCAAGTGGCTTTAGCTCTATCTTTAAACCGCACAAATATCCACAGGGATAATTTTAACTCTGCCTGCCAAGAAATGCAAACCAACTTTTGTTGTTTGCTACTGGACAGATAGAAGCCAACCTTTACTTTTCCTCGTGCTGTGGGCTCACCCTCTTTTTTTTAATCTGGCATCCCTGTTTCTTAGCATGCAACACTTGTGCCAGGAGTAAGCATGCTCATCCAGGTCCAGTGTCTAGGGAACAGAACCAGCTTATTTAAATCAGACCCACCATAATGCCCTCCCAAGGACCTGCATATAACAGACATATGTGATCTTACACGTGGCTTTTCTGGGTAGGATTTAGCCAGGCCGTTCCATGTTCAATACAGCAAAATGCTAATCAACACATGTAATTAATTGGCGTCTATACATAGGGCCTGAAGCCTTAATTAACATTCCTCTCTGATTAAATTATCACTGATGATTCCAAGTCTCAGGTGAAACTGAGTGTTGGAGGTTTTTACTGCTTGATCTTCCACCCCCCTATCTCCCAGGACTTCAAAGAGAATATGAGGTCCATTTCTTAAATCCAATGGAACTTTGCCATGCCTGCTCTTCCCTGGCCATATCTCCTACAGCAAAAATTCCCTCACTTAGATATTTTGCCTGCCTCACAGTTCCTTGATGTTGCCAGACCTCTGAGTTAGTTTTATAAAAGGTTTAAAAGTCTAGCCCATTATTTTTCAATGTTAAAAGTTACTGGTTTTATATTTGTGGTGTTTCGCAAAGAGAAGGGAAGACGACTTCTATAGCAACATGTACAAATAATTCCGGTCGTTTAAGTGAACAATGTTTGTTGTAACTTTTGCTACCCTCAAAGTCAATTCTCTGGCCTTAAAAAATCTTTTTATTGTGTCATTGTCATAGTTTGTATTTTCTATTTTATTTTTGTCACTTATCTCCCAAGCAGCTAAATGTCTTAAAAAGTAACTATGTATAATCTAGCTAAATCTGTATGTGTAATAACAGGCTATTTCCTCAAAATCAGTATGGGTTTATATAGCCAAAATCCCCAAAGCATTCTAAATTATTACAGTAACTCAAATGTTAGTATATTGAACTTTGTTAAAATATGGGTTTTTTTTTCAAAAAATGAAGGTAGACATAATCCTACCCAGCCACCTCATGTGATGAACAAACGTGTCGAAGTACTTGATGAAGTGCTTGGAAAACTACCAGGCTGAGATGATTAATAGTGAGGAAAGAGGTATGCACTTCTAGGTTCTCAGCCAAACTTCCTGCTGCCTAGAAAAGCATGATGACTTGATAGCTGACCTCAAGCTCTAAAGTCTGTGTGATTAATTTTTTTTGCTGTGTTATCACCTTCTTCAAGGAGACCAACATAGGGTAAAACTGATCATAATGAGTCCCTAACATAAAATTTTCATAGATGCTGTGGTAATGGGAACATCCAGAGGTTTCTCACTTTTATAAGGCCATATACAATACCAAAAAGTCTCATTTCAGGTACACACACTGAAAAGGTTTTCAATACTGAAGTTTTCTTTTCTATAAAATAAAGACAATAGCATATCTTTATCACTTAGATGAAATGAATGTTGAGAAATGTGCTTGGATACTCACAGAGAAGTTGTTACAAATGCTCAAAGATTTTTGTACAAAAGTGTGTGTTGATTTAGATCGTTATTCTAGTAAATTGTGTGTCATATAAAGAAAACTGATTTTGTCTAGGTATCTTCTGCTGATTTGCAACTTGCAAATGTTTCTGATATTTTAATTCTAGTCTCTGGAACCACGGAAAACAAATGTTTCAAAATCTTGTAAATTTGCATAAGGTGGGGAGACAAATTTCCTTCTATCTTCTCTGCTTATCTCTATCTCCCTGTGAATTGTAATTCACCTTTTAGCTCATCTTTATTCTATATGTATTTCTTTTTCATCTTTTCATAGGTCTTTACAGCTATCCAAGCTTAATAAATTTCACCATAACTTGTTACTGCAGCTCGGTCTCAGAAGGAAAATAAGTGTACACACTTCGTAATTAGTAGCTTGCATTAGTGGGGGAAAATAACGACTTATTACAAAATCTGTCTGAAAAACGAGACCATGCTTTCTACTAGAGACACTATCAGTATAGCTTACAATTGGAAAACAACTTCATGGAGGATTTATTTTTTCAGAAAGTTGGGGAGATTTTTGGTTTGGTTTGGGTTTTTCTGTTTGTTTTGCTTTGGTTTTGGGTGTTGTTTGGTTTCATGGCTTTCTGGGAAAAAAAGGAGAATAAACCCAACAACCAATAGTATTTGCTATCTTTGAATTCAAGATTCAAGTTTCTAGGAAAGGCAGGAGACTAAATATGTTTTACCCACTAGCCTAAATTGTCCTGAGTTATAACCACAGCCTCCAAGCAAGCATTCGCCTGCAACTTTGGGTGGACCATTTGGTTGATTACCTCCTGATTAGGTGCTAGGACAAGAAATACTTTTTCTGGCAGGCAGATGTTGCAGAGGGGAGAGGGTATACAGTAGGTTCCCAAGGTAGGAAGGAAAATATATGAAATAGTTCCTCATAGCCAGGAAATGTTGATGCTGTTTCATGGTCCGAGTTTGGCAAAAGATTGCAGTGTAAGGAGCAGATGGAGGCATGTTCCCTCTTTTTCATCTGTGACCTACCACAGGTGAAACAACCAGAAGCTACGGTACTGCCTGTACACAACCAGAAGTACTGCCTTTACCACTACTACCTCTACAAACAGACAAGTCTGGATGCTGCTGCCTCTTTAATACAGACCGATGATGTTTGACACCTGATATGCAAAAAGTGCTGT